TGTGAAAGTTAAGTACCCCAAGAAGGACCAGAACCAAGTGTCGTGTAGCTGGAAAGTCCTCTAAGCTGCTTTAAGACCTTGATCAATTATTTACTAATTCTAGGCAGTACAAACCTTCCCCCTACATTACTTTCCAAATAGCATTTCCAAACTTAGGAGCGTTATTTAGGGGGCTTTGAACTACGGTTTTGAAAATAATTATAATTTATAAATTGGAATCAAACAGCCCTAAACTTTAAATTAATAATAATTATTATTATAATCCATTAGATATTAATTATTAATATTATTTAAATTGTTTCCAAAAATTATTAAATTTTCTTTTCAAATTTTCTTCTTTTATAAAGATTTTTTTTGAACAGCTTACAATTTTTAAAAAAAATGAGCGAAAATTATCAAAACGTTAATAAAATTCTAAATCTCGATCAATTTAACCTAAACACTTAAAAATTTGAGCACGAACCATTTGTATCCAAAGTCACATTCCCTCTTGTGAAATTATTAGACCATTATGAAACAAAATAATGAATACTTCTCCAAGGGCGGTGGATTCGAAGATTATTATGATTTAATATGAAATAGAATAATAAATAGCTCTCCAAGACAGTTGCTTTTATCATATGAGCTGATAATGTACAGTAAAAATCTTATATCAAGATTCAAATTCTTTTAGAAATAATTGTAATATTTCTTTCACTTTCTCAGAATTTTCCCTTATTAAAAAAAATATAAATATAAAAATAAAACGCCAAAAAGCAGTTGCTTTTACAGCTACCCGGGGAGGGGATGGAGGGAACAGAGTCAAAATATGGTTATAGAAAGTTTAATTGGTTTCTAATGCACGCTCAGTATTCGAGAGCGTAGATCACGGATGAGGGGAGTGATGGAAGGTTGGACCAACTTTTAGCTCATTACATCTTGCCACATTATAAGAATAAGATCAAACATATTAAGCTTCAATAATTAGTTTTCTTTATTGGGTTTTAATAAAAACAATTCACAAGTACTTATAATTTATTTTTTCTCTCTTTGGTAAAATTTACTTAGAGAACACCTAGTAAAATTAAAAATTTATTCACTTTTAATAGAATTTTTACATTTTAATTAGTTATGTGTGATTTATTAATCATAATGACATGATGTACACATTAAGATTTCTTATTACATGCAAGGAAGTCAAGAATTAGGTGAATATTAGGACATTCCATTTCCACGTATTCTCTTAGATGTTTCTACATATTCTAATTAATAACATGTTGGTTTTAGATTTTATTGGATTAGTTAATTAAGAATCAAATTATTGATGAAGAGGCCATGATCAAATAATTATTCATAAATTTCTTATTTTTGAAACAAGATATTAGAAAGATTAGCATAACCTAATATGCATGAATTGGTAATGATGTGTTTGCTCCCATTTTATTGAATACAGTTTGATTTTGTAAGGAGGTCAATAATAAGAATGTAATTTTTTGTAAATTTCATAGTTCTAATATGAATAATTTGCTTTTAACTAAATTGATGAGTAATTAATTTCAAAATATGCACAAATTGACTCAAAAGCACTTTAATTACCCAAACAAAAAAACAAAGAAGAAGAAGCAAAAAAACTCATAATGGTATTATATGTTTGCTTGAGAAGAAAGGAAGGAGCACTAAGCAAAGTAGTTTTCTGAGGACCCGGATGTTCAATGTCAAATAAGCATTTTTTCTTTCAGCAGGTTCTGCTGTTACTATTTAGCATCATTAGTCTTGCTTAATCATGATTTATTTTTTTTCTAGGTGGGAGATGAGATATATATTACTCTTAATGATGAAGTTTATATGAAAAGTGCTCACACCATTATAACTAAATCTGTGGTGGCCAAAAAAAAATTATAACTAATCTGTGAAAACGAAAAAAAAAAAAGTGGTTGGATATTCTTTTCAAAGGCAACATCATGAAGACTAATTTTTGTTTTTTGATTTTTAGGGTATTTATAGACTATTTTATGCATATATTAAAATTAATTTCTCTTTGGTAATGTTAAAGATGCACTATCATATTGACCTACTATTTTTTAAAAAATAAATTTTTTATATTATTCATAAATTTAATCATTAAACTTAATTTATAAAATAATATTTTAAGTTTTATTTAAAATACTATGCAATGACTATAAATTATTATATCTTTTCAAATCACAAAAATATTTAAAATATTAGTTGAATTATAAAGAATATATAAATTATTAATTAAAATTAATTAATTATAATAAATTTATATTTAAGAGAGAGTCCTAAATCATCAATTAGAACGTTCAATGAAGATTATTTTTTCCTTCTGATACACTTACATCACACCTAAATCACGATACCTAAATATTACTCAATTCCACCATCGTAGTCGTTTTATCTCAAAATTTGTTTCAGATTTTTTTTTTTCATATATGTTTTAAATAAATTTTTTTTCCCTATTTTAACATTATTGTGGACGGAGTGAAGCACATCATTTTGAAGCTGTTAGATTCAATCATCCAGTCTGACTGTATAAGTCCTCCATTAAGCCCAACTCAAAAGTGTAACATAATTGTTCCATCAGGCAGCCCATTTTCAACC